GAAATGCCAGGAAATATTACTTTCACAGAACTTTCCAAAAAACAGTTCTATAAGATTCACTTACACAATATACACAATAGGAGAAAATATTGTCACAGATGACTGATTACCATGTATTATTTTTATAATAGGAATAAAAATATTTGCCATACAGCACTATGTGATTAAGGTAAAAGTAACTTCTTGGGCCATCCCTGGAATTTTCTTCAGGTTAGGTCTTAGACAGAGGAGTGAGGGGGAAATGGTTTATTGATATTATTTAAATGTTACTTTTCTCCTTAAATAAGGCCAGGTGGAAAGTTAGAGCAATTTAGAATTTGGAAGAGTCTGGGCATTAGGGAACAAAGCTACATGCTTGTCGTTTGGAGCAAATGATAGAAACAGGCACCAGGTTTCTGATTTACTATTAGGATTAAGTAGTGATATATACAGTAGTTCACCTTTGTCCATGGAAGATAAATTCCAAGCCTTCTAGTTGATGCCTGAAGATATGAATGGTACCAAACCCTGTAACTTTGTGTCCTTTCCATCTTAACTAGCACTTACCATGCACTATAGCTGTAACTTTTATGGTTTGGGATGAAACAGCAAAACTAGTATCAATTTCTCTTCCCTTCTTCATAATTTCATAGATAGAAGTTTTGTTCTTAGCGTAGATGTCAACAGACTCAGTTTACATAAGAGGTGATGCATAGCATTTGCCAACCTAGAATTGACTGATATGACTTAGCCAAAAGACTGAAGAAATTGACAATCTTGTTTTGTCAACAGGAAGTCAATGTGTGAAAGCTTAAAGCAGGGCTGAATCATTCAAGACACAAGGAGCCTAACTGTTTAGTCAGGATGCACTTTGTACTCAAATAACTCATCAGACAACGTATGGGTGGGCCTCAGGTGGGCCTTGGTAATGCTGGGAAATTTTAAGCTTTTTGAGACATCTGGGTACATAACCCCAGGGAAGGTTGAGCACAGTTCCTTTCTCCCTTATCACGTGTGTCTGTTTTGTCAGCTTGGGCTGCTCTAAAAAAATACTTCAGATTAAGTAGTTTAAGCAATAGAAATTTATTTCTCACTGTTCTGAAGGCTACAAGATCAAGGCAGCAGCCAATTCATTTTCCAGGGAGTACCTACTTCCTAGCTTGTAGAACAGTGCTTGCCTACTGTGTCTTCATATGGTGGAGAGGGAGGATGAGCTCTCTGGTGTCTCTTCTGGTAAGAACGTTGATGTCATTTAATCATGCTCCCACTCTTATGATTGATTGTATTTAACCTGAATTTTTTCCTAATAGTTCTCATCTCCAAATATAGTCATACTTAAAGGTTAGGACTTCAACATATGAATTTGGAGACAGATACAGTTTAGTCCATAGTAGTATTCTTTCCCAAAATAAAAGTTTAATTAAACAAAAGAACTACTTTGATCACCAAAAGTCCTTGAATCAAACTGGAAGCACTGCTCTTCATGTCACTTCAGAATGAGCTGTGATGTGCAAAAGCTATGAATGTCAGGTGGGAGGACTAACTCTGCTGCCTGGCTCTAGCCTGCTTAATGACTTATCCTAATGAATATTGGTCTATATCCTGTGTTATATTGCAACTTCGTTGTTCTTAGTACTGGCACTGCATTAAAACAGGATGGTCATAAATAGATAAAACATGAAGCCTTCTTTTATGTCTGTGGGGAAACTGTACTGTGTCCACAGCCACAAAGAAGGGAAGAAGTGGATGATTCAGAATGACAACAGCAAATCATTTCCCTCTAAAACTTTTGAGCAGTTTTACAATCTAGGTATTTGACTCTCACCTTCCTTTGGAGGCCACGGATAGAAACAAATAAATTCTCAAAATTAGAGCTGCAAATTAACACATTGTATTCTTTTAAGCTACCTCTGGGGAGATATTGGTAAGTTTAACAAAATACTCCTTCCCAGATAGCATGAGTGATGCATTTCAGTCGTGGGTTCTATCACCTGCTGTTTGTCAAGACACACATAGACTACTGCTGCTAACAGCATGGAGTCTAAATCAGAATATAACTCTCAGATTTTAGTGACACCTTTTCAGAATACGCAGTAACTGCATCAAGGACAGTCTCAACAATCCTTTTGGATAGATTTATGATGATATGTTTCATGGATTTGAAATTTATCAGATGAAGAAATACAAATGGCCAATAAATACATGAAAAGATATTCAACATCACTTGCCATTTGAGAAATGCAAATTAAAACAACATTAGGATTTCATCTCACTCCAGAAAGGATGGCTATCATCAAGAAATCAACCAAAAATAAATGCTGGCTAGCCTGTGGGTAGAAAGCAACCCTTCTCCATTGTTGGTGGGACTGTAAATTGATACAACCACTATGGAAAATAGTATGAAGATTCCTCAAAAAACTAAGAATAGAAATTCCATTTGACCCAGCTATTCCCCTTCTAGGTATCTTCACTAAAGAGTTAAAGACATCATACCACGGTGATATACGCATGCTCATGTTTATAGCAGCCCAATTCATAATAGGTAAATCTTGGAAACAGCCTATATGTCCATCAACATATGAATGGAGAAATAAAATGTAGTATTTATACTAGTACTAAATGTAGTATTTAGTACTATTCTGCCATAAAGTAGGATAAACTTGAGTCATCTGTAGGAAAATGGTTGCACCTTGAGTCCATAATGGATGTATCTTGAGACCATAAAATGAAGTAACTCAGACACATAAGCTTAAATATCACATGGTTTCTTTTATATAGCTATATATATATATATATATATATGGACAATAAATCTAAAAGTGCACCTTGACTTAGCACAATTGTCTTACATGTTTTATATGGTCTTTGGCCTATTTGTATTGTTTTTAATCTCTCTATATATGATAATTAACTTTATAAGGTCTTATAAGATGAATAAATAAATCTGATTGCTGGAAAAAGAAAAGGGGAATGGAGGGAAGGGGGAAAAAGAATTGAAATGTGTTATGTACATGTACCAATTTCCTACCGAGAATGTAATCATTATGTGCAAACATGTACTAATAAAAGCAATAAAAGAAAGAAATTTAGGTGAAATAGATACAGAATTATTTTTTATTGATAAATCCAGAGAACCCGTAATTTTTCATTTTCTTATAAAATATAATCTGGTATTTATAATCAGTATTTTTCATAATCAATATAGTTAATAGAATCAAAATGATACAAGATGGCATATTTAAAGAAACTTCTTAGTTTGTTATCAAAGCAGTTGTAGAATTTTAGTTAGGTTATTTTATTTCTTTATCCAGCCTTTCCATTTCTCTAAGTATTCATGGTGCAGGGTAGTAGGCATTAGTGGTTTCTAAGACCATGACAAAAGACAAACAAATAAACAAAAGCATTTATCTCTATATGCACATAAGAGAACTTGATGTCACCTGGAAACAAGAATTGTTTATCCCATAAAATCCAGATTAAACAGAGAGGCTGAGATTATTTTTTTGGCTTCTGATTGTTGTAGAGAACTGCTTATCCCCTACCACCCTATTGAACCCAAATTGGAAATGCTTACACTAATCACTGGGTGAGGACAGTGATTAGAGTGAATGGTACTTTGGTCTTAAGTCATCAGTTCACACTGGGGGATTTATAAAAAAAATTCCCTTGACACTTACTGTTGTTTTTATTCTAAGATATTGTTGAGGATGTTCACTATTAGTGGCTTTCAAATTTGCCCATTCAGAATTCAGAATCAACTGAATTACAGATCTTTCAGGCCCACCTCAAGCCCATTTAATCTAAATTGCTATGCCAGAAGTCTACAAATAATCTCAGGTGATTCTGATGCAGTTGATAGGTATATGGGAAACATGACATAGTGTTGTTTTTATATTTATATTTTAATATTTTATTTTTGTCACATTAAATTGTATATAGTTATGGGGTACCATGTGATATTTCTATGATGTATGGATTACCATGGTATCCATTTTAAGAGGACCATGGATAAAAGTTCTCTGTAGTTTCAGTTCTAGTACAGTAGCCCTACTTCTGGGCAAACAATTTACTTTTATTTCCTTGATACCATAATTCATATAACTCATTGTGTTGATCTTTTTTTGCATTGGCCAAGAATTGAGCCAAATGTGAATTCTGCTAGAAAATGTATAGAAAGAAGCATTGCACTATGAGTGCTATATGAGTACTTTTGCCTTCCTCTCTTCTTTCTTATTCTTATTTTCCCTTTGGCCTATTATATTCACCAATTTATTTTTAATTCTATATTTTTTTACATTTGTGTCCATTATATTAAACCCCTTCTGGAATAACATGTGGCACATAAAAATAATTACTACCCATCTATTTGTATGTACCTTGATCCTTCTTTCTTGATCTGGGTGCTTATATTTCTGTTTATTATTTTAAAAATGCAACATAGGACAGCCAAACTCATAGAAACAGAGTAGAATAGAATGGTGGTTGCCAAAGGTCGAAGGTGAGGGTGAGGAAAATGGGAAGTTGTTATTCAGTTGGTATAAAGTTTCACTTTTACAAGATGAATCAATTCTAGAGACCTGTAGTATATGATTGTGTATAGTTAATAATACTGAATTTTACACTTAAAATTTGTTAAAAGGATAGATCTCATGTTAAACGTTCTTACAACAAACACCCTAGCAACTTAGTGTGATTCAGCGGAAGTCACAATATAAACCTGATTAAAGTGATGCTGTTACTGTCTCGTTTAGTCACTTTATTGGCCTTTGGGGAGTGTGGGTGGAACGGGGGCTGATATTACTTCATATCCATAAAAGACAAACAGAGTCTTCTAAATTTTATTTAGAATGAAATCAGTATGGTAAAAATACATCAGTGATACACATGGAAGAGAATTTGGTTCATTAGTATGATGAGTCTTCAGGGCACAGCAATATATACCAAGTGTGTTCTGCTTTACCTACATCCAACTGTATTTGAAGATAAGGTGATCTGTGAACACATTATGAAAAAAAAGAGAAACAGAAAACTGACAGATCCAAGAAAATGATTTGCAGTCTTAATATGCATGAGGTAAGGGAAGATTGCTTTTGATCCAATCCTGGTATTTCTTGGTTAACAGGGTATAGATTCCAGGCTTCTTAGCAACACCACATTTATCTCCTCTAGAGACTATAGCATGGAAGACACCTTTACAGATCAAAGGGCCACCTGAGTCACCCTGGAAAGAAGAAAATGGACAGATACTTGGTAAGAAGCTGTTGAGATTTTTCTATCAACAGCTGTTAATTGCTCAAAATGTTATTATCTGGGTCCTTGGTTTCTTTTTGTCTTCCAGAGTACAGGGTATACCCTTTTACTCAGTATAGGTTCATCTAGGACTGTATTTCTATCAGCTCTGTTCATCTCTCTCCCTGTGATCACATTTGTCTATGACTATGACTTTGCCTGTTTCTGTCTGTGTCCATTCTATGTCTCTGTTCTGTCTTCATCTGTATCTATGTGCACATACATTCCTTCACTAACTAGTGACTATTGAACTTTATTTGTTAATAAAATTATCACAAAAATAAATGTTAAAATTATTTTTTCTACTTTAGGATATCTTCTTTTGTTGTGTATATCTGTAGCATTTACACACAAATAATTGACATCAAGTCTTTATATTACATAGTTGTGTAAGTTTCCTGTACCTGTGACAACTTCAAAGATTTTTGAAAGTGAGAAATAACTGAGAGCTTTGTAAGTTCACAGGGATTTGATGCTAGGCATCCTTACATGCAGGCCAACTGAAGACTTGTGTATTACCCTTACATTCATGGTGTTTCACTACACTGTGTTTCAAAGCTTTCTACACAGCAAATTTCATTTTGGTGCTCAAAGAATCAAGCCGAAGTCAAACTGCTACTGAGACCAGCAGAAAAGAGTAATATAATATAAACTGTGTCTTGCTGGCAAGGACTCTGACTTCTCTATTATCTTTTTCCTTTGTTTTGCGTCCTCATATGGTTGAACATAGTGCTATGTATGTACCACCCTTAATAAACCCTTGCCCAATGAAATGACTTTTGAGGATCCACTCTAACAATAAAATACATAAAAAAATTCTGTCAAGAGAAGAAAACAAACTAAAGAAGGAATGGCATAGCCTTTCAGAGAAACAACTGGCTTTTGAATTGGGAGGCCAGCCTCTGCCTCTGCTGCAGTTCACATCACAAATGGCAAGGCCTCTCCCTGAGTCAACCAAGATGACAAGGTCAGGAGGATGATGGTCTTGGGTTACCACAGATACACAGAACTGTACCCTTCCCCTCATCATACCCTGTAACAGTGCTTAATATATTAAGTGTAATATTATTTGTATTCTAATTTTAAAAAATTACTAATCCACCTGTGCTGTATATTAGTCATCTCTGAACATGTATCCAATATATGCACTCAATATTCTCCTTACTATTGGGATTTAAAAACAGATTTTGAAAAATACAATGACTCTTATTCCTTTTTGTAAGTCAGTACTGTGGTCTGAATGTTTGCCACCCCGTATTCCCACCCACACAAATTCACATGCTGAAATCTTCATCCCCAAATGTGATGGTGTCAGGAGGCAGGGCCTCTGGCAGGTATTACGTCATGGAGGAGGCACCCTCATGAATGAAATTGTCACCATACAGGGTCCAAGGAGGTCCCCCAAAGTGGAGAGGACGACCCTACTCACCTCACCTGTGAAGTAGGTTATAGGTTTGCTGACTAGTATTGCAGAAAAAGAATGTTTAAGATGAGTCAGTGAGAGACATAAAGAGGTTTATTAGCTAGAATTTAAAAAGTACACACTCGAAGAAGATAAGCCCTGGAGAGTGGCTTATTGTTTTTAAAGAATTTAGGAAATTTTGCTTTTGAGTGAGTTTTTTTATTTTAAGAAGAGAAAAAGGCCTGAATAAATTTTGTGTCCTATAGTTACAGTTTTTCTAAAAGTACAATTTAAAAATTATGATTTGTTGGTCTCCTTTCTACTTATCTTTATTTTTTTCTATCCTACCTCAGGATGAGGGTCCTTGTAAAACAGGCCAGAGAAAGAACCCTCACCCTTCTGTTAAGTGAAGTTACAGCAAAGCAGAAAGCAGCAACACCAAATCTGCTGGCATCTTGATCTGGACTTTCTAGCCCCGAGAACTGTGCAAAAACCCTTATGTTATTTATAAGCTGTTCAGTTTATGATATTTTTATAGCAGGCCAAACAGTGTTAGACAGTCCATCAACATTATTTAAGGTACCCATGTAATACTGCATCTTTGAGTTTTTTTGCATTTGAGTTTTGGAAGTTCTCTCTATGGATTAATTTAAAAGGTGGTTGGTTTTTTTTTCATGAAAGAAGAGAGACTGTTAGATGAGAGGAAGGAAATGGGGAAAGGAAAGGGGAGATAAGAGAGGCCAAAGGAGGGTAGTAGGGAGACTGTATAGGATTAAAGTATGTTATATGTATGTATAAAAATGTCACACTGCATTCGGATAGTTAGTACATCAGTATGATAAATAGGCTCTAATAATAAATAACAGTGATTCCTTTTTGGGTAAGTTATCTTCTAATCACCATTAATGACCTCAGGGTTTGTAGACTTTCTAAAGATGGTAACACCCCTCATAAGAAGCCTGTTAAAGCTGTCAGATATAGTCTATTACTCTGAATAAAAAGCATTTAATGAGTGCTTTTTCAGTGTTGGGGATGTTCTCTTTTACATAAGTAGATGAAAAAGAATGTAGGACACTGTGCAGGAAGAGTAGAATTTTTAGACTTGTGGCTCTGTATTCTCCACTCCTCTCCTCCTTCATGTGAGTGGGCAAACTGAACCTTGAGTGGTGTACAGACCTCTAGTATGTCTGTGTAAATGAGCAATTCTTACCTTGCAGGAATCCTTCCAGCCTCTGGCATCTCCTGCACATATCATGTCTTTTGTTATAGTAGGTCTGTGGTTGTAATAACTTTGGCTGTTGCAACGTTTTCGACTTATGATGGTAACAGTGACTTCTTGTAGGGTATCAGAGTTGTTTAAAACATCTGGGCTGGTGGCTCCCCAGCCAGTAACCTGGCATTTGGTTCCATCTCGGATATAGTTTTTGGATCTTGGGTGGAGCAGCTGGACATACTTGTTGAGTTTTGCAGCTGCGTGAAGCTGACAGATTGAAAAACAAATTATCATTCTTTCCCTGCAATATTCTGCTGTTAGCCTGTGTATCGTATGTGTGGTCCCTCTGTCACAGGAGGGCATCCGTTCTTGAATCTACTTTGGTGGTAGCTTGCAGCTGTATTTGTGGTTGTTGCTGTTCTGAACATGCTTTCTATTCCCTGTAGAGCTCACTGATACTTGGGAGGGAACTTACACTGAGCAGGAATTCTGCCCAGTCTGGAGCAAACTGGCCTTTGCCCTGCTTTGGATGGTTTTCTGTGGAATGACATCCACAGGTCATGACTTTGAGGGCTGGGCTGTTTCCTGATGGATAGGACCCTTGAGTATGGTCTAGACTACATTTGAACTAGACAAAGTATGGTCTAGACTAAGTTATAACTCACTTCTGAGTCCCTAAAGTCACTCAGTTGGCTCTGTTGTATAAATCACTGTTTTAATTTTCATTTGCTAATGAGAAAAACATTTGGGAAAAAGCTTTCCACTTGGATCCTTAGGCTTGTTCATTGGGATGCTCCCCTTTTACATATATGAATATTAGAATTGATTTTCCCTGTATAAATATATCCCTGGTGCATTTATGATAAAGTTTTGTTTCTTTCCAGGCAGTATATGGAGTAACATGGGACCTTTTAGAATATGTCATAATCACCTCAAACATGGAGTGGGTGCAAATGAAATGCTTTCATACAGTTGATTTAACTAACTGTCACACTGTGTAAGAATGTTGGAGAAACTGAAGAAAGGCAATGTTACATACCTTTACCAGCATGATATCATCTGATTCAGATTTTGAGAATAGTATAAGTTGTTTAATTGCAAACATTTGTTTGGAGTGCTCATTCTTTGAGAGAGAATGTGCTCCTAAAACCACAGTAGCAGACTGGCCTTTGTCAAACCTAAGGAAGTAAAGAGAACGGAAGTAACAGAATGGTTTCCAAATTCTCTGGTTGGGGGTAGAAATGGCAAAAAGAGTTAGGTACATACAGAACCAGGGACAAAAGCCAAGGTAACCTACTCAGGATTAGGTGGAATGACAGAGGTCTGAGTGGATCCCATAGTGAATGAATAACATTAAGGGTCAAATGGCTTTCCCCTCAGACTCCACCTCAGCCCTATTTCCCTGCATTGTAAGAGAGTATCAGAATTTGTATGTGATTATGAGAAAGAAGAGGTGAAATCCTAATTGTTATAGATCAAATTTATAACAAATTGTATTCATTTATATAAAAATAAAGGAAAGTGGGAGGGGTAGGGGAAAGGAAAGAAGGGAATGGAATTAATATGAGAAAATGAAAAAATGGAAACAAAGTCTTTATAAATAGGGAGGGATAGAGGGGTTGAAGGGAGGGCAGGGAAATGGGGAAAAAATAAGAACCAAGAGAGATTATGTAAAGGTGCAAATTTTCTTTTTTTCTTTCTTTCTTTTATTTTTTGGTACTGGGGATCGAACTCGGGACCTTGTGCTTGTGAGGCAGGTGGCAGAACCACTGAGCTAAATCCCTGGCCCAAGGTGCAAATTTTCAATGTTGAATGTCATTATATTGTATACCTAAAATGTACCAATAAGATTAATAAAAAAATAAAGGAAAGCGTATTTGTTGAGTTTGTGGTTTGAGATTTATAACAATTACATTAAAGGATTTAAAAATGATGCTAAAATATCTATAATAAAATATTTTATTTGAATAATTTAAAATGTACATTTGGTGGCATTAAGTATGTTTACATTATTGTTTACCCATCACTATCATTCATTGCCAGAACTTTTTTAATCTTCCCAGCAAAAAGTGTTAAAATGGCTAAGGTAAAGATTCAAATCTACCCATGCTTATCTGTATGCCGAGATCCCCACCAGGCAAGGTGAGGCCTCTTTCATGACATTCAAATGTGCTCAAAATTCCTGTCCCCTTTAACTAGAAAGACAGTTCAGACAAGAAAGGAAAACTTTCTTCAAGGTCAAAAAATATTGCTAATTTGAAATGAAGATATATTAAAGATTGTAAACACCGATAATTCCATTGTAAATATTTATAGGGTACAAACTGAGGAGTCCAGTAAAGAAAAGCAGGTTTTTTTCCCCCTAAAATCTCTGATTGTGCATAGTTCTAGTACTAATGTTTCAGTAGTTGACCTTATTTACTGTATGCTTGATATAGTTACATTTATAGCCAATGATGAAAATAGAAAATTTTTTTTGGAGATTTTGGTAACATCTTGGAGCCATTTGTATGCTACAGATATATTTCACTGCAACATGGGTTTTTATGAAGGCATCCTCAAATCCTTTTTTTTTGGAATAAGAAAGGTTATAAAAAATACATTTATTCATTTACACATAACTGTATCTTTGTTACTTGAAAAAGAGATCAAAGCAGAATACAGTAAAAATACACATACTCATAAAAATTAAAAAGAGCACAGAAACATATAGAAACCAGAAGGAATGATTATTTCAGGCTCAGAGAATGTGCACATAACTGCGGTGGGGAGGATTTTCACATGGTAGACCTGTGACTGCCTGGAATTGCCACTTCATGGTTTCTACCAAATATTTTAGTTTATTTTGGGGAATTTCAGCTCTATTTGTTGAAGAGTTTGCTTATTGCAAAATCAGGATGGGGATGAAATTTCTCATAGGATGTGGATTGGATTTCCTAGTACTAATTCAAATCCAAAATACCCATCCCAAAGCTTTGGAGGGGGAAGGTTAATATAAAAATCCCCAGGATTAACAGTCTAACAGAAATGTGGGTAATGAGCATAAACAACTTACACAAGGAGGGCTGTGTAGGGTAATCAGGACCCAAATTCAACTTTTGTGACTCCAAGTCCAGTCATCTTTCCTTGACTCCTCTTTAAAGACCCATACCAACCAGCCAAGTCTCTTATTTTCTTAGCCTGTCTTGTTGTTGAGTAGGGGTTCTGCTTAGACCCACTACTGAGGTCTAACAGCAAAGGTAGGGTTTCTGTGTCCTGGAAATCTCTTTTGCCTCAGAGAGTGAGGTTTTCTCAATCCCAACAACACAAGTGGGATCATCAAATTAGTCCCTTGGTAGTACCATGGAAGGTAAGTGTATCAATATTACAGTACTTGGAAATATATTAAGGTCTTGTATTCTGTGCAAGACATTTCCCCTCATATTTCACAACAGCCCCATGATGTTAGAACTATAATGATGTCCATTTTACAAATGAGGAGGTTGAGGTTCAGATGCTTGAACAAACTTTAGATTGTCCCACAGATATTAAGTAGAAGCTATAGGATATACACTTAGGCAAGATTACAGCTCAGGTGGGTTGAATCTGGAGCCTGAAGGTTTTACCACTTTATTCAGGGAGTTTGAGACAGAGTAACATGTGGAAGGGGCTTCAGAAGCTTTCATCTAATAGCTTGTTAGGCAGGTGATGGGGTTGGGTGAGTGCTCAGAAAGGGAGGACAGTGGAGGATACCTTGGAGGACAATGGACAACAGTTTAGAGTTTTATTTCTGGTAAATGAAATTGCTGAAAATGAGATTACACAGGAAGCTTTTTTTTACCCATTCCCTTTTATGACAGGGCAACTAATAAAGGGGCCGAGGTGCTAAGGGAGGAACTGAGTGGGTGGGCGGTGAGAAAGGAACATCCCCAGATTTGGCCCATTGTACAGTTTTGCTGAGAGAGAGGCCTGGGGTCGGCAACTGTTCCCTTAGGATATTTGTGAGTACCCTTGCGGGAAGCCACCATTGAAGTATTTCATAAATATTTTGAATTTCATAAGGCTTAATATTTTTCCAAGCACTTATGTGCCTACATTTTTGACACCCGGGTGTCCTGTGGAGGAAATTCAACCCACATATTTTGGAGTTCTTTATACTCTAGCCATTTAAAAGGATATTTAGTAATAGTTTTTTTTTTAAATTCCAAGACTTCTTTCCAGTCTTTTAAAAATAATCTCTCTCTCCTAATTTGGGAATCCACTTTTTTTGAGTTAAGTTCACTTGACAAAATGTGAGATTCAACTTAATATTATTTAATTTCATATGGTAACTTATGGCTTATTTTTAGCTTAGCAAAATAAAAAGAATCCCCCAACTTGTTTCCTTCTTTCCAGCTAACATTTTTTGAGCAATTGTGACTCAAGCTCTGTGTCTCAGGAACTTAGAGTCTGGTGATGAGCTTTAGAGCTTTTAATAACAGCATACTGTGGCATGTGGGCCACCACTGTTATAGTCCATTTAAATGTGTACCAAAATTATCTTTGAAGATATTTACATTTTGCATTGATCGAACATTTAATGACAGTCATCCTCTGCCTCATTGCTTCTGAGGGCATAGCCTGTCCTGTTTATAGGCTTCAAAACTTCCAATCTGTGTTCAAACAGTTCCATAAAATGGGACCATCAGACAACATCCTAAAACTTAAGAAACAAACCAATTCATTTGTTTTATTTCGACACTACTGATGCTTAGACAGCAAACCATAGGGACTAAGACAGATTCTCAAATGAAGTGCTGTACCATTCTTATGGAAAGAACCATCTCAGCTTATTCAGACAAGAAACAAAGAGTGCAAACAAAATACAAAAGCAGAGAACCCAAGCAAATAAATGAAACAACAAATACCAAATTAGTTTTCTACTGGTTTTCCTTTATAATAGTTGCAGCATCCTGAGATGAGTTTTGTATTTTATTAGCTGAAGCAAGAGTATCTAAGGCTGAAATGGACTTTGGGAGGTTGTAGTCTGTCTTCAGAACAATTTTTGTTCTAAGTATCTCAGAAAAAATAAGTCACTCTTTTTCGTCCTTTATCAATCCTCTCTAAATTCCCCCCATCCCACAATCTGGGAATGTTGTTGCCTTTTATGGCTATGATTCCCAAACAGGAACCTCAGATGTCTGGGGTAAGGGATGAGGCTAAGAAACTAAGGAGTCTATAAGTCTACAAGCAAAGCAAGCTTCTCAAACATATAATATTGGCTGCAATGTTTTTGTGCTTACTAAATGATCTGTACAGCTAAAGTGCTTAAATATATGCTATGTAATTCTCAAAATCCCACAAAGCAGGGTATGGTAGTCTCCCCTCATACACAGTTTTTCTTTCTGTGATTTTAGTTATTTGTGGCAAAATGCTGCTGAAAATATTAAATGGAAAACTACAGAAACAAACAGTTCATCTCTTACTGTGCCTAATTTATAAATTAAACTCATTATAGATATGTATGCATAAAAAATAGTGTATATAGAGTTCAGTGCTACTAGAGGTTTTAGGCATCTGAGGAATATCTTGGAACATATGCCCCATGGATAAGGAGGGACTACTGTACTATTATTATAAATCCCATTTGTAAAACAGGGAAGCTGAAGAGGACAGAACAAGCTTAGTTTGTCTTATTTCCTCCTGAACGGTATTATTTAACAAGGTCAGAAATGTGGCTACTTCCATTATTACTGTTGCAGAATTTGCTGATGAATTAGACTGAGGACTTGCATTTATTTAATGGCTTGCCTGAGAAAAGAAGCCCAGCTCTTTCCACAAAAGAAAAACCTAGGTTAGGAAATATAGATGTGTGAGAGGATAAATAAGCCCCACCCATCAGTCAGAGATCACAGAAGCTAAAGCTCAGATCCTCACCCAGGACATGTGGCTTTTTTTTTTTTTTCCTAGCCAATTTGAAGGACACAACACACACATGGAAAAGCATAGGGGACTCACAAAAAGCCGCAGTGGGCTGCGGTCAGCACCCACTGTGGGTGGATCAGGACTCCTCCACAAACGTGATTGCCTTCAGTTTGGATGGAAGCCATAAAAGGTCTGGAGTGAGGAGGTACTTCTTTCCCCCCAACAATCTCCATAGTGAAACCTACAAAATAAACCAAAGGATTTCCCAAAAGGCCCAAGCAGTTACAGGTAGTTCTTCTGATAACAGCCACTATATGATTTTCAAAAATTAAAAAATAGCAACTCTACATAGTAGTAATTATACTTTTACTGACAAACAATTATATTAAACACAGCAGTTGCAAGGAATAGAAATGGTTATGAAAATCCCATTCATCTATAATGTAACAACACAATCACTAGAAATTCACTTACTGTTTTCATGCTGTAGGAATGGAGATACTTACCTTCTGGAACCATATAAGGCCCAGCTATCAAGAAAAACAGAGAAAAAGAAAAAATGATAGTCATTTTAATGACTTAGACTTAAGAAGCCCAGACAAAATATTCTAATCTAACTGATGAAGGAAGATTTTGAAGCCTGAGTTTCATTCTTGCAAGTTTTAACTTTCTCACCACAAATGTTCTAGGGTTGTTTTTTTCACACCTGTTTTAGAAGCGTGTGTTGCCTTGAGGAGTTTTAGGTCTGGGCTTTTAGTATTTTTTGGAGGGGAGGGATATATGTACAATAAAGAATCTCTTCTGGAGATAATCATCTCCAATATCTGCATGAATACTTGAGTTATAAATGATGAAAGAATGAAAAAGTCCAAGCCATAGGAACCTAGTGAAGTGGCAGGCAGAGTTCAAAGATGTTCATTGGTCCAAAGCAATAGTTACTATTTTTCCTGGCATAAAATGGTGCCTATTATATCTAATTGCCATCTACTTTTAATTTGAATTTAGATTTATGATAGAGATGTGGAACCTTGCACAGATCATGGTTGCTTTACATTGTGGTTTGTGTAAAGCTTGAATGTCATTTAGAGAAACCCATGTTTTGCAGCAAACTTATTTCTAGTCCAACCATTTCCTCTAAATATAACCAGATTTAGTTAAATTTTAGTTACATAAAAAATTAATAATGTTATTAAAGGGGAACATTGGCAATATATTTTTGATTCAGAATTTCTCTTTTACTTTTTTTTAAATTAAAAAATGTTTATCCAGGGTTTGAATGGATAGAGAAAATGTGATATTTATACACAATAGAGTACTACTTTTCCATAAACAAAAATTAACTTGAGTCATTTGTAGGAAAATATATGTACCTTGAGACCATAGTGTTAAGTGAAATAAATCAGACATATAAGCTAAAATATTGTATGGTTTCTCTTATATGAAAAACCCAAATTATAAATAAAGAGCAAAATAGAAGATAGATAAAAGCAAGTAGGGAGACAGATATTTCTCAAATGGGAAGGAGATCAAGGAATGAAGGGAGGGGAAGTGAGGGGAAGGAAAGAGATGAAAAAGAGGAATAGAGATGTGTTATGCCCATGTACCAACCCCACACAAGGAATGGAAACATTATGTACCACAAACATGTACTAATAAAATAAATAAATAAAAATCAAGGACTGCATTTCACCATTTTCCTCAGGAACACATGCATTGCCAGGCTCTCTAATGTGCTTTTTCCTTCATTGCAAAAGAATTCTACAAGAATGCAAGATTCTGTTTGTTCTGGGTACTGATCAACAGTGCAAACATTATGAAATGAATACAAATTGATAAATCACACACTAAAACCCCAATACTTTGAAGAAATACTAAAATTTGCAGTACACTAATTGATCTTTCTTTTTTCTAAGACATATGGACTCTATGTTCCATTTTTTACATAAAGAATTAAAATCTAGAGCCTTTATACTTGACAGAAAGCAAGAGACTCCTACCAAATTGTTTTCTTGTACAAGAAACTAAGAATAATAAAACACAATATTATTTATATATTACACATCATAATTTAATAATATATGAGTAAAATGCCATAAGTTATTTCCAAAATTCACTTTATCTGATCATTGAGGTCTTCATATTTGTGTCTGTGAGGAAGGCAGGTCATTTACTATATTTATGCTACAACTGAAAAAATAAGCTCTGAGAGGCTTACTTGCCCAAGATTATATAGTATATGACCTGGACCAAATACCTTACCTGATCTGAAGAAACTTGTGTGCCAGGAATGTAGCTCAGTGGCACAGCACCTGCATGGCAAACACAAAGCCCAGAGTTTAATTCCCAGTACAAAAAAAAAAGAAGCTTGTGTATTAATAAATACAGTACCAGAACACACAATTTGATAAATAGCCTGTTTTCATTTTACAGGGAAGGATGCAGCAAAAATAAAACTTTCTAAATATTAAGCAGAATGGACAAAATCAACACAGACCAGTGACTTCCTGCAAGAGAGAGAAAAAGGTGAGATAAGGAAGAGCCAGATTAAGAAAAGCCACAGACTTAATAAACCAAACTTGTTTGCTCCCCCCAAATGTCCCTCTGACTTTTCAGGTCATTTTTGTCACTGTTGCTGTGCCTCGGATAGATCCCTGTGTGCCACTTTTCAAGTTGTCAGATGTTCGTGATGCTGGTGGTGCTGTATGATATCCCAGTGATGCTGAGAGCGTAAGGAAGATAGTGTGTGACATGGAGAAGTGATTTGAACTATAAGGAAGACATAAACTGTCTAAAAGACAAAGCTTTATGGTGGAAGGCATGGTTAAAAATATGTCTCAACTTCTTATTTCTCCAGAGTAAGGACTGACATCTACATAACTTTTTACAAATTGCTAAGCATTTTCAGCTGTATTTTCAGGGAGGTAGCTGTTTTTAGTCTTGTTTTATGGATAAAGAAATTGAAGCTCAGATAATGCCTTAAGATTACGCAGCTCGCAGACGGCCCTTAAACCCTTATATGCTGGCTCTAGGCTTCATGTTTCTTTCAACTTGACCACAGGCTTACCCTACTCTAAGAAGTCTCCAGGGCTTAGATGCTCTAAGAGGCAAGCTTGCCAGCAGGAGGGGAAAAGGATTTAGCCACGCACATTGTAATTAGGCATGGGTGAGATTTAGTTCAATTGAGAAGATAGCTTCATAACTCTTTCTTGTAGCTGACCTGGAAAATTCTGAGAATTGTGTTAGTTTATAGTAATGAGTTATTTGGTTTTGGCTTTAGACCAGTGTCCTAATTAATAATGTAATTTGTTATTGTATTCAGGATCCTGGATTTGAAGACAGTGGACTGTGTAACAGGATGAGCTAGGCAATCTAATTTATATCTGGGTGTTGGTTTTTATACTGTTGAGTCTGCTGTGGGGAGAGCCCTGTTTGCTTTGGATGGTTTTAGTAGCAGCTGTGCTGGGCTGAGCAAGTGCAAGGCAGGGCTCAGCCTGAGACTGGCTTCATGCATCAGAGGCCTTGTGGTTCTCCTTTGTTGTGTTGTGTTTAGCTGTCTCTGTTAGCTACCCTTAGAGGTGTTATTTTTGACACTTCTGTGTTTCTGGAGACTCTTCTAGAGCAGCTGTCCTGAAGCTTCCAAGACCACGTATGTGGTTCTCACCCTGGGGCCGGCTTTCCTCAATACCTCTGACACCTGCTTCATCAGATTCACAAGTCATGCCCCCTTGGGTCATGTCATTGAAAGATTGGTCTGCAGACCTGTGCAAGTCTGAGAACTGTTTCTTACCAAACTGGGGCAAGAGGACAGAAACTGAGAGTCAGAGTTTAGAAAATATTAGGGCCATTTGACATGGCTCTATACTATACTTGGGCATGGTGACACACACCTATGATCCCAGCTGAGGCAGGAGGATCACTGTGAGTTTAAGGCCAGCCTGAGTTGCATAGTGTGTTTAAGGGTAGCCTGAACTATATAGTGAGATCCTGTCTCAAAAGTCAAACAAACAAAAAACCAAAAAACAAAAATTGAGCATGGATTTTTGCATGTCTTTGCTTGTTATTTATTTATTTTTTTATTTGTGTTGCATCATATAAAAGCATCAGTCTACAAATGGACTGAAACTAAAACAAGTTAATAAACAAAAACTCCAAACACACATGTTCTTTCCCACAGACAGTTAGAGAAGCACTGCCCAATAGACACAATTGTGAGGTATCTCTGTTTCAAGCCTTTCCAATTGATTCCCTTTCAGTCTCCTTTGGAAAATTTCTCATCACCGAGGTGTCCAAGACTGTCCAATCCTTCCCAGCCCCAGGTGCTTAACATCAGGACTTGGCAGAATTTCCCTGAGTCCCTCCCTCGTACCCCAATATCCTCTAACCTTTGATTCCTATCCAGTAGTAGTTTAGCTAATTTGATAAATGAATCTGCTAAAAATTATGGTGAAACTAGGGAAGGTTTGATAATTTGATAAGTGGGGAAGAACATTGACATGCTGTATGATGATACTATGTCCAAAGATTACAAGAAAATGTAAATACTACTACAGATTGCAGCTGTCTCTCCTATGAGGTCCTCAAAGTGAATAAGCTAAAGAGCAATTACAAAGGAAAGCAAAGTATTCTTCAACTCAGAGCTGGCGTTTTGCCTTTAATGCAGAGAAACTGGGTAGTCGTGATTAAGGCATATAGAGCATTGCCTTTTCCTAAGCTACTTAAATTTAAATACTTCAAAAAACTGCTTTATGACCTCTCCTTCATAGAATGATGAAGATGATGTTGAAGGTGAAACCAGAAGAAATTTATTTTATCTTTCTCCATCTCAACTTTTAATCAGAATATAATTTACATGTTAATTGTCTTCTTTTATTTAACATGAAGATATGCTTTTCTTTCAAGCCTTTTTCTTTTTTTTTTTGGTACTGGGGATAGAATTCAGGACCTTGCACTTGAGAAGCAGGGAGCGGCACCACTGAGCTAAATCCCCGGCCCCAAGATATGCTTTTCAATCCACTGTTAATTGTGTATCATAATAGTAGTTTAACCTCTTCCCTCTTCATCTATCTCCAAGTCAGTGATGCAATTACTGCAATGGATGAGCATTGCCTTGAATACAGGATCTTAGCATAAAATAATGACAAGAAAATCCTCTGAGAATGTGGCAGAAAGGGATGGCTCAGTCTTCCAGGAGCTCGCTGCCTAGTCATCTGTTGTCCTTATCCCAACTTTTCTTCAGGCCTCAAGCTGCCCTTTTGTGACACCTCTTCTCTTTCTATTAACTAACTCAGTATCCCATGACTTTTTTTGTGTGTGGGGGATACTGGGGATTGAACTCAGGACCTTGTGCTTGCCAGGCAGGCACTGTGCCACTGAGGTACATCCTGGCCCTATTCCATGATTTTTTATTGAGGATGAATTACCTGAGAGTGAGTTATTGATAATGAAATACACTTCTGAGAATGATAGAGCTTGCTTTTTGTAAAGGATAATTAATGATTGACCAAATACACACACACACCCACACACACATACACGCACACACACACATGCATGGCATGTACACATGTACA